GTAAGTTTGTTGCTGTCATTTTGTAGTGCTTTTTTTTGTGGTGCTGAAGTTTTCTTTGTTCTTCTTACTCTCTTGTGCTGAGTTACTCTTGTTTGTGGATAGTTAGTGATTTCCCCTACCCAGCCCTCCCCTCCCTCATAACCATCAAATATTCTTTCTGTGTGTAAACCTTTTCTTGAGTTTTCATAATAGTGGTCTCATACAATATTTGTCCTTTTGTGATTGACTTATTTCACTCAACATAATGCCCTCCAGATCCATCGATGTTGTGAGATGTTCATCATTGGATTCATCATTGTTCTTTATTGTTGGGTAGTATTCCATTGTGTGTATGTACCATAATTTGTTTATCCATTCATTTGTTGATGGGCAGTTAGGTTGTTTCCATCTTCTTGCTGTTGTGAATAATGCTTCAGCGAACATGGGTGTGCATATGTCTATTCATGTGACAGGTTTTATTTCTCTAGGATATATTCCTAGGAGTGGGAATGCTGGATTGTATGGTATTTCTGTTTCTAGTTTTTTAAGGAGGCGCCATATCATTTTCCACAGTAGTTGTACCATTTTACATTCCCACCTGCAGTGCATAAGAGTTCCAGTTACCCTGCCACCTTTCCAACATTTGTAATTTTCTCTTTTTTTTTTTTTGTGCTGGTAATGTCGGGGGTGAGATGGTATCTCGATGTAGCTTTGAGCCCTGGCAACATAGTGATAAAGAGCTCAGCTGCTAACCAAAAGGTCAGCAGTTCAAATCCACGAGCCTCTCCTTGGAAACTCTATGGAGCAGTTCTACTCTGTCCTGTAGGGTCGCTATGAGTCGAAACCAACTCGATGGCACCTAACAACAATAGCTTATGATTGCGAGCATTTCCTCATGTGTCTGTTAGCCACCTGAATGTCTTCTTTGGTGAAGTGTCTGTTCATATCTGTCTTAGTTATCTAGTGCTGCTATAACAGAAATACCACAAGTGGATGGCTTTAACAAAGAGAAATTTATTTCCGCACAGTAAAGTAGGCAAAAAGTCCAAATTCAGGGCGTCAGCTCCAGGGGAAGGCTTTCTCTCTCTGTTGGCTCTGGAGGAAGGGCCTTCTCATCAATCTTCCCCTGGACAAGGAGCTTCTCCGCACAGGAACCCTGGGTCCGTAGGACACATTTTGGTCCTGGCATTGCTTTCTTGGTGGTCTCTAATCCTGTCTCATTAACATCATAGAGGCAGATTTTACAACACATAGGAAAATCACATCAGATGACAAAATGGTGGACAGTCACACAATAATGGGAATCATGCCCCAGCCAAATTAACACACATATTTCTGGGGAATACAATTCAATCCATGACAATATCCTTTGCCCATTTTTTAATTGGATTGTCTTTTTGTTGTTGAGGTGTTGAAGTATTTTATAGATTTTAGAGATTAGACCCTTGTCAGTTATGTCCTAGTTAAAAAATTTTTCCCAGTCTGTAGGTTCTCTTTTTACTCTTTTGGTGAAGTCTTTTGATATGCATAAGTGTTTAATTTTTAGGAGCTCCCAGTTATCTAGTTTATCTTCTGGTGTTTGTGCATTTTTAGTTACGGTTTGTATTCTATTTATACCATATATTAGGGCCCCTAGCATTGTCCCTATCTTTTCTTCCATGACCTTTTCATTTTAGGTTGTATATTTAGGTCTTTGAACCATTTTGAGTCAGTTTTTGTGTATGGTGTGAGGTATGGGTCCTATTTAATTTTTTTACAGATGGACTTCCAGTTATGCCAGCACCATTTGTTTAAGAATCTGTCTTTTCCCCATTTAACGTACTTTGGTCCATTGTCAAACATCAGCTGACCATAGGTAGATGGATTTACATCTGGGTGCTCGATTCTGCTCCATTGGTCTATGCGTCTGTCATTGTACCAGTAACAGGCTGTTTTGACTACCATGGCTCTGTAGTAGGTTCTGAGATCAAGTAGTATGAGATCTGCTTTGTTCTTTTCCTTCAATAATGCTTTGCTTATCCGGGGCCTCTTTCCTTTTCATATAAAGTTCGTTAATAGTTTTTCCATCTTATTAAAGAATGCTGTTGGTATTTGGATCGGGATTGCATTATATCTGTAGATTACTTTGGGTGGAATTGACATGTTCACAGTTTTGCGTCTTCCTTTCCATGAGCATGGTATGTTTTTCCATTTATGTAGGCCTCTTTTGGTCAGAAATCTTCCTTACCACGTATTTTGCCAGTTTTGTTACCATCTTGACAATGAAGTTTATACATTATTCCACCATCAGGGCAATGGGCCACTTGAAGAACTTTCACCTTGTTTGTTTTAATAAAAAAATTTCACCTAGAATGTGAACTTCACATTTTCACAGGAAACTGGGAAGGATGCAGTATTTAAGAATGCAGGCTTTGGAGTTGAACTGGGTGCAGATTCAGTCTCTTAAGAGCTGCATTCCCTTGGACAAGTTAACTTCTCTGAGCCTCAGTTTCATCACATGAAAAAGGGGTAAAAACTATTATCTGCCTCATAGGGTGGTGGTTATTGTTGTTGTTACCATCTGTTGAGTCTGCGCCAACTCATGGCAACCATATGCACTACAGAACAAAACATTGCTTGTTCCAGCACCATCATCCTGATCATTGGTTTGCTCAAGTCCCTTGTTGCAGCCACTTCGTATTTTTAGTGCCTTCCAACCTAGGGGGGCTCATCTTCCAGCATTATATTGGACAGTATTTTGGAAGTAGATCACCACCACCCATTCATCAGTTTGTTGTACTGTGGTGGCTTGAGTGTTGCTGTGATGCTGGAAGCTCTGCCACCAGTATTTCAAATACTAGCAGGATCACCCATGGTGGACAGGTTTCAGCAGAGCTCCCTGAGTGCCTTTTGTTGGCTGCTGGTGTTGCTTTTTCCGCTTCTTTAGATTTCTTCCTTACCTCTCACCACCTCCCCTTCCTTTCTCTCAAATACCTGGCTCTGTGCGCCATTTTTGCTTCTTCCTGAAAGGCTGTGAAACACTGATTGACTGTGAAACTGCCTCCCGGCCCGTGCTGCCATGCTGGTAGGACCCCTGGGGCTTTTTTGTTTGTTTGCTCTGATTTGTTCTGTTTTGATTTGTTTTCTTTTTCTTTTCTCGGCTTAGGAGCCCCTTCTAGCAGGGCAGTACTGCACGGCTTGGAAGCTACTCCCTTACTCTGTGCAGACGCACATGGACATCCTTGGGGGCATTTCCTTTTTCTTGTTTTGTTTTTTCTCTCTCTTATTCCCTTTTTGTCTTTCTTCATTTCTAGTTTCTCAATTTATTTTTTTCTTTTACCCTTTTTCTTTTTTTTTTTTCATTTTTGTTTTTCCTCATTTCTCAGTCTCTCATCTTTCCACTCCAATAGCACTCCCTTAGCACTCTTTTTCGTTTGTGTATATGTTTTTGGTTCGTGTTCCTCTGTCCTCTTTCCCATACCCATTTTAGCGCCACACATCACAATTTACCCCCTCCTTCCTGCCTACCTGTGCTGTGCACTGAACATCACACTCCCAAGCAGCACAGGCTTGCTCTACTGGAACCTGTCCTGCACTGATTCCCAGTCCGCACTGTCAGCCCTGGTACATGCCACAAACA